GACCCCAATGCTCACCTACATTGGCTCTTGAGCGTCCTTGAAGGCATCTATGCAATGTATAAAACCGACATGTGAATCAAGTTCAGAATCCTCTTCTCATTTCGCCTTCTTCGATCACAACCTAGCCTCCTTGTTCAGTTACTCCTTCCAGCCATCCCCGGCTCCAAGCATCCAATTTACACCTACTAATTTCATCCCGTGCTTCTTCACCCAGTCTGCAGCCCCAAACGACCGCCGCTGCACAAATTCTTCTCCGCCCACATCCTCTTTTGACAGAGCCAAGCCCTCAGGCTCCCTGAACAGCAGGAACATATACCGATGCGGTTTAGACCTATCAACCCCATAAGTCAGCAAGCCTCGCTATGATATCAGTGCGATATATAAGCTACCTACTCGTCTTTCGGGCCTGGGCCGAGATACTCGGTCAGTACGTGCTTAGATGTGCTCGCACCCGTCGAGTTGGCAGGCCGCAGCCCGCAGACAATCCAGTGGCGCCAGAAGGCGAACTTGGGCTCGTCCGGTGTGGGGGCATCAGGGTCGACGAGGAGGAGAGTGTAGTTGGTTTCTGACGACGGGCCATCTGCCTCCTTCGAAGATAGTCAGCATATATTTTGAGCGGCTATGTATACTTCGGTCCTTGGGGAGGGGGAGGGTTGGTGACAGGAAGTTCCTTACTTCCACAGAGAAAGATATGTCTGGTGCGCACTTGCATTCGCTGGCTCGAAGGAGGCTCCCAAGCGCCACGACTCTATCGCCAAACCTCACGTGTAGTTCTGTGGTGGGCTTGAAATCGGACGGGATGAGGTCGGTGGAACCAGGGGATAGTCCGACGGTAGCAAGAGAGGTTAGTAGAGCTTGGTTATGGGAGAGTAGGGACATTGTGAGCGATATGGAAGGATGCGTGGCAGCCACCCAGCTTGCGCGTGGTCAGAACAGTCCACAGAGAGATCTTTATACATGCACGCGAATGCTAGACGTAAAGCTTGCAAGCCGAGAAATCTTCATGTAGTCTATCAGGTCAGTATTGGCCTAGCAGCTTGCTCAATGGTGGATTAATCTACGCGCCAAGTCCAAGTGGATCTGAACCACTGCAGCTGCCAGTAACTACCTAATCTTGTTGCGCAATCGCTCTGGAATGACCTCAAGCTCTTATGTGGGTTTTTGATATAAGAAAGACCACCTAATCACGCTATATTCGACGTTGACAATACCTAGTGAAGCGAGTGCGGGACTGGGACTCCAAATCACGTTGCTGCAACTAGAAACACACCCCCACCCCCAACCAAAGAAAGAAACCTTTTCAGGGGTAACACCAAGTCATAATAAGATTCATACCCGCGACGTTCACCCGATATCAGCACCACATGTAGACATGGGTAAGTAGACACCATGTCTAGATCCTGAAGTTCAGGACGGTCTACGGGTCGTTGCGCAGATACATGAGCAGGCATTCACAAGGCTGGGTGTGGAATGAACGATCTCCACGCCTTCAAATGCTTAGGCACCTCTTCGAGTCAAGTCTTAACGAAAGACTGGCCATTGCTCTGATCAGCCGTTTGTGGGGCTGAAGGGGAGGCCGCACAGGCTCGATCGGACTACTCAAGAGTCGGATGAACTAGAAGGGTCCTATGGAGATCTCTCGGGTGCTTGACAGGTGAAAATAATGAATGAACTTTGGACCAAGCATCGTGGTTCAGAACTGAACCCATAATTTCTTACAGGCAAACTCACACACGAAACAGGAGACACAAAGCAAAGGACAAGGTTGCGATCGCCATTGTAACTAAGATTTTCAAGCGAGAGCAGCCTATGCTGTACAGAAATGGCCCGGCCAAACTTCCTCCCGGGGCAATACATCAGGCGAGATCCGGGAGAAAGCGTGTATCTTCGATGACAGTCAAAAGTTGTTTTTTATATGAATATCAATCGTCCATTGCACATTGATCGGCCGCTTGCCCGTAGTGTGTGTGGTTTCTCAACAATACTTCGACACTGACAATCATTGAGATAAACCAACGATGACTGCTGTCGTAGCCAGAGACATCTAAAAGGGATCGACTGTAACGATACCTCACAAGGTATTTCCACGTCACAACTGTGGCCGCCCGCTTGAGAGGACCCGGAAAATGGGGATCGTCCAGCTACAGACTTCAGGATCTCCAACTCTGAGCTTCGTGCCGAGCGTAATGTGACCCTATGCGGCGGTACCCCCATCGATCAGAGAGGACCCAAGCATGCATTATTACCGGATACCCCAGGTTTATGGCCAACTTTCCCCGCATTCTTGAATCTGGGGCCCAATCCTCTTGCCTGTATCAAGCTTAGTTTATTTCAGCCGCTAGGTTGGCGACCGAGCCCACAGGCTGCGTGAAACAGCAGTTGGATGGCAGTTGTCAGTTGAGGTACGTAGAGTAGGAATATCTTTTAAAGGGGTGTTGTTAGTAGTTTCGGGGTATAACTTAGAGACCGAGGCAATACAATATCTAGTATAGTTCCCAGATTCTGGCGATTCTGATCCTATCCACATATCTTGGTATTGTTTTTTTGTATCCTTTCGTCACATTCACTGGTTCGTTTGAATACGAATACCAACATGCCTCTCGGAGTAATCGACGACCGTAAGATTGAGCATGTCCCAGGGACATCGCCTCTCAATGAGCTGGGTATCAGCGCCCTCGAGGACACAGCAGGAAACGAGTCTAGCTTTCTGAAGCATGACCCGACAGGACGAATAGTCCTTGTCCCACAGCCTTCCGACTCCCCCAATGACCCTTACAACTGGCCGAGATGGAGAAAGGTGATGTACACTGTTGCCATAGGGTACGGTTGTGGGTGTGTGGGAGGTAAGTCTTTGTCCGTTAAAAAACGAGGTTCTCGTCGGTTGGCAGTGGGAAGGCTACCAGGCTATAGCGCCTGGGTTCTCTCGAATTTCCTTTCCGTGTTGTAACTGACTGATGTGTTCTTGTTTTGTAGCCATTGGACCCCTTTTGACATCAGCGCTCGCCCCACTGGCTGAGGAGTTCGGCATCGCACTGCAGACCTTTACTCTAGGACTTCAGGGCTCGTGTATCGCAGCAATCGCAGTTTCGAGTCTTATTTGCAACAGTCTCGCCGTCAAGGTTGGCAAAAGGCCGGTATACATCGCGACATCGATTGGTCTGATGGTTTCATGCTTCTGGGCTGCTGCATCACAGTCGTTTGGATCCCTCGCCGCAGCCCGAGCCGTTCAAGGGTTTTGCATGGCGCCCATGGAAGCTCTCGTCCCCGCTACAATTGCAGATATATGGTTTGTTCATGAGCGCGGCTTCCAGTCGGCCGTCTTCAACTTGGGTGTTCTTGGTGGAATCAACTTGGCTTCTCCAATTGGTGAGCGAATATGTCGTGTATATCAATTCGACTCCTTCTGCTGACACAATATCAACAGCTGGTTCAATTATCCAATACAGCTCATATCGGACGTGCCTATGGGCCATGGGCGGAGCTTTCGCCGTCCAAGTTCTCATGACGGTGCTTTTCATGCCTGAATCCGCCTACCACAGATCTGGCGCCATCAATATCGACAGTTCAGATCGCTACGCTAGCCAGCATTTCGAGAAGAAAATCGAAGTCGAACATGACGAGCAGAGCGCCAGCCCAGCGAGGTCCAGCATCGAGCCCAAGAAGTCGCTTGTCCGTGAACTGCTCCCATATGACGGGTACTGGGACAAAACCTCGTTCTGGCGGACTCTAGTCCGTCCATTCTTCTTCCTCGGCTCGCCGATGGTGGTCTGGGCGACACTTCTGTTCACGACCTGCATCTCTTGGCTGGTGTTCATCTCCATCACGCTGTCTCAAATTTTCTCTGCACCTCCGTACAACTTCTCCGTTGGCGCCGTCGGTGCAACAAACCTGTCTTCATTTGTAGCTAGTGTTCTTGCTACCTTGATATCTGGGCCTCTGATTGATGGCCTGGCGAAACTCATGGCCAAGAAGAACAATGGAACTTTCGGTATGTTCAAAAACCTCCTATCCTTCCACAAGACTAGCACTGATATCATATATAGAGCCCGAATTCCGTCTTCCCATTATGTCAAGCTATCTCGTTTTCACCGCAACCGGCTTTTTCGCCTGGGGTCAGTCGCTTTACAATCAAGACCCCTGGCCCATTCCAGTGATCGTCTGCCTAGGGCTGATCAATTTCGGCGTCCAATTGGGCACGACTGGTGTCGTGACCTACATCGTCGACTGCCACAGGGAACAAGCAGCCGAGGCCTTTGCTCTCATGAACTTCGTCAAGAACCTCTTTGCCTTTGGTTTGACCTTCTATTGCAATGAATGGATTGCTGTTCAGGGAGTACGAGACTGCTTCTTTGTTCTTGGCGGTATCACAGCCGCTGTCGTGTTGACTACGATCCCAATGTATATTTATGGTAAGATGGCAAGGAGCTGGACGCACAGGCACAGGATCATTACGAAAATTGTTCAGTGGTCTGAATAATTGAGGTATCTTCTTGGGTATTAGCATGTCAGTCAATCTTCCAGCAGTGTACGATTTCGTCACAAGCAGTTCTCCTTACCGTCTATAGCGTCTTAGAGTAGATGTAAACTTCAGATGAGCCCTAGTCAGAGTACTTCACGTTCAGTCGTGTTTGAGGCGTTGTGACTGTATACCTATGTAGGTAAATGAGCACTCGAAAGAACAGAGCCGCGCTGGAGTGATGCCACTCGGCCCAAGCGAGGCTGCACGCAGTGTACTAGAGCCAACAGCCCTTATCCTACGAGCACTGCACAGCCTACCAACGCAAAGCCGTGGAATTTTCATACGCCATGACAAATCATTTCGGATTCTTGCAGATATTGCCACATATTTCCTGCCATCAATGTATTCCAAGGTTCGTATTTGGGGGGAAGCGGGCTGACTGGACTCTCGAAGAGAAAAGACGAGCACGATCTCTACCCTCCAAATCCCCGCTTAAGAAGTCACGCTTGAGACAATAGAACAATAAGAACAATAAGACAGAACCAGTGTAGTACAATGGCTAGTATCTCCGTTTCCCATGCGGAGGATAGGGGTTCGATTCCCTTCGCTGGTACTTTCTTTTTGCGCTGAGTCCCCCCTTCTTTGAGATGATACTACTATCGAGGACCACAGGTTAGCGATGTGAGTGTAGCCCTTTCAACTCAAACGCTGAAAGAGCCACATATTGAAAGTGTGAGCAAACATTTCTCGATACAGATGAAAGCTAGCAACGCTCATTCTAGTCTTGACTATTGCTGGTTTGTGCCCCCCCCCCCTTTCCAGCTAGTGTCTCGTTCAAGTCCATATAATACACGAGACCAGCCTCTTTCTGTAAATGGGGCACAATTTAGAATAGCAATTTCCCCGGTCAATAATTCTCACGACTGGCAAATTGCATGACACCATCATCCACATCGAACACAGCCAACACATTCTGCAGAAAGACGTCGCCAAGGATGTAAGGGCCACTACCGCCGCTGGAGATGGTGGTCATGCACAGCCCAGTCAGGGGATTTCGAAGTTGGTTCAGCATCAGATCCTCGGGATTGAGCCAAAGTTGTGTGTCATCAATTACGACGGCAACCCGAGGCGGCACGGCGTCGCACGAGGTAAAATAGCTGCCAAACATGAAATCATAGATGGCTGGGGGCTCGAAAGCATTGTTGATGGCGTCCGAAAGTTCTGCTTGACAGTGAGCGGGACAAAGTTCTGAAAGAGCAAGGTCGCTGGAAGAGCTGTGTACCTTGTGGAAGATACGTGAGCGTCGTGCCAGTATCTATGATATAAGGCACCTTTCTGTCATCAGTCGAAGTGCCAAATAGCCAGCCGTCTGGGATGATAGTATAGAACGAGTAGTCGGAAGATGTGGAGTCATCATCCACCAGGTTGGCCTATGATGAGTTAAAGTGTGTCAGCATTGCTTGCGCGTAGCTCCAATGAGAAACGGAATAAAAACACACAATGATGATATCTGTCATCGCCAAAGTTGAGAAGTCGACTCCAGCTAGGTGTTCCGGAACTCCGCCGAGTCCAAGGACGCCGTCCGGTGCGTTTCTACTGATGGCGATGCTGAAGTAATTGTTTACCAAGCCCTGGGCAACCATATTGGAGAAGATCGGCGAGTATTCCATCTGGTACCATGGACTATGCTCGCCGAATGGCCCGGAGTATGCATTGGTGATGGATGGATAAGCAAGCCCTAGTATCCCACTGGTGACATTGTTACCGTTCCAGAATGTGTCGTTGGCCAAAGCCACTGTCTGATTAGTGACCTGAATTCCACCAACGGTGACATCCATGAAGCCTATCGGCCCTTGGACGACTTCTCCATCACCGTATTGAATGTAAAGATGCTCGTCCACCAGGGGCTTCTCGTTGAAACCACCAGCGTACGAGGGTCCGAAAAAGCAGCTGGTAAAGTAACCTGTGCAGTTTGCTTTTGAACTGACAGCCCACGTGTCCGAGCTCCCGGTATCTAGGGCCAGAGAGAGTTTCTGTTTGTTGAATTGCACTTCGACGCCATATTGGGTCCCGTAAGCACTTGTCGAGGTGATGTTCTCATAGCCTGAGCTGCCGTGCTTGCGATGGACACTCCCGAGGGTGTTTGAGGCGGACATATGCCCGGATCTGTGCCCTTTGTAAGCATGAAGCGTTGTCCAGTGCTCGGTGACCTGGAATCGGTCTTTGGCTCTCTTCTCGGAGATAGACTTTCCGGATTTTGAGCCGGGGCGATTGAATCTGACACCAGGTAGAGGTGCCAACGCAGTATCAAGGTCGTTCTTACTCAAGGCCTTGAAAGCCGGAGGAGACCGGGGAATGGCTAAAGAAACCGAGGCCAAGAGGCCTGTGGCCAGCAGGAACTTCAATGTGCTGCTGAACATGGCGATCGAAGTGGAGCTCTGGGGTGGCAAAAGACAGGATGCGTTTCGCGACGAAAAGAGGTCAAGACTGGATATCGACCAATATTTGAGTCAATTGACTCTCGAGGTCAATATCTCACGGGCTTCTTGGGATGGGGTTACCAAATCGACACGCAGTAGCAAACGCGTGACGCGATTTTATCCCGTCCATATTGTTTGGCCCTAGCTAGCAATCACATCGGGCCAGGCGAGACGCAGAAAACGGAGCACAATTTCCAAGGCTGGTACATCGCGACGGAAGGAATATGTTCTGGGAACGCGAACACCTCAGTCACTACCGGGGGCCCAGCGTGGTAAACTTTCACATGTATTTGAAAAGCGTCTGTGTACATTCATAGTGGCATGGTAACGATGTGGTACTTCGACGATAAACACAAGAATTTGATGTACAGTACATTGGGTGATAACATTCGCCTTATTCTGCCCCGGTGTCCCTGCCGAAATGAAGTCTGTAAGATGTTGCCATCCCAAAGCAGGAAATTGCGAACGAGCACAGGGCCTAGTATTTCGGGAGATGGTACTGGACTTCATGAGACCTTGATTTCATCTCCCATATCATGATGCTCATCAAGATCCAGAGAAGTCCGCATGAAGGCGCAGATGAAGCAAGCGAAGTCAGGGCGGGCGGTAAGACTCCAAGGAGTCGTCCGTCTCGCTTCTGTTGGACCTAAGCATCCGCAGTATGGACCACGACGTATGTCTAGCGTCCTGGCAAACAATTCACACACGATTCTCGACTCGGCTTGGATGAGGCAGTGTTTCGAAATTTGACGGTTTGACGTGTCCTTCTCCGGACAGCGAACCGAACAAAGCATCCGTTTGTATTTCCCGAGACGGGCTGCAAGATGGGATCCCGACCGTCTTGTGTGGAAACAAGCGAGACGACGGCTTTTGAACGCAATCACTGGAACCAGAGATCCGTGAGAAGGATCACATGGAGACAAAGAGCTGCAGCTTCGAACGGGAGGTCCATTTCCGTGCTCACCACTCAGCTCAATAGTGAGAGGTTCAACGAGCTCTTCAGAAAGCTTAGAGCTATAGCTGTCACTGAACCACAAGCTATCGGTTGAAGACTTGCAAGCAGCTTGTAGATAGAAATTGATCCGGGCATGACAGAGATCCGGTACTCAAACTCATCGTCACACAAGCACCCGTTGTAACATTCAGGCGCGTAGTCGATCGGGCGATTCCGTCTCACTCACCGGAGTTCATCTAACGCGATGTTATCGACCGCAAGCGAGAAACAAAAATTGCCTTGCATGAGCACTGGCGTTGGAGCTAAAGCTAACCTGTAGCGGGGACCATCGTTAAGGTTAGTAGCAAGCATGACTACTTGACTAGGTACTTTTCGGAGGTCATTAACAGACCACGGTGGCGAGCCCTGGAGTGGGTAGCGAGACATAAGATGCCGTTGTGAGTTTTCGTGATGCTGCAACTCTATACGGTTCTCGTCTCACCAGTCCCTGTCCTGTCGTGATTTCTCAAGCTCGGAAGTTCAGACGCAGGAACCCGCACAACAGATATCATGGTTCTTGTCTTGCGTGTTGCACGTAGATTCACCGAACATAATAGCGTGAAAGAGTTGCAAGAATAGAGTAGCTTCACTGAAACATCCGGTTGCTGGCAGTAAACCTATCCGCACGAGAGCAAACGCACGAAGCTGAGTGACAAGAGGAATGATCCAAATCAGGCATTGTTCCCCGGCTCATCCGAAGCAATTCCTTTGGGCTACAGGTGGACCGGGTCCGGGGCCCCGGGTCTTCGGACGATCCGGCCTGTGATTAAGCTTGAACGCAATATGCCGAGGTCTGACACCTCTAATCTGATCTGTGGGCAAAGCAAAGTCTGTCCCGAAAATAAGAATTCTAAAGTTGATATTGGTACACAATGTCGCATTGATGCTATTGTTATGTCATTGACTGGATACATCGTCGTCGTGATGCTCCGTGTTTTGTAGAGAGCTGATGGGAGCTGCGCCGCCCTTGATTGTCGCCGAGGTCCCAATACAAGAGGCTGCCACGCTGACACGTTGACAATCTCTCAAGATCACGCATACTGCTCGTCTTGCGCTTGCTACGGATCATTGCTTCTGGCGTCTCGTGGCTTTCGTCCTACATTCTCCCAAGGTCACTTTCATTGAAACATCCAGACCCAGCCACGCCATCATCCACACAAATTCTGCGCCCCGAGTTGCAGCCGCTCGGCCTTCAAGCCTCGTACCTCAACCCAATCGCCGATACGACTACCCAGACCAATTTTCCCACAGCTTTCTCCCAATGGCGGCCAACGTGCCGGCGCCCAGCGCTGCCAAGGAAGGCCCGCTGTCCTCTTTTGAACGAACCTCGAAAATAGTGTATCTCTACCGACCAAAGGTCGTTTCCGCTGGCCCAAGGTCCTCCGGCTCTTCGCCAAAGCTCATCCTTGTGGGGGGCTGGATGGATGCGCTTGAGCCCCATCTTGCCAAATACACGGCCAAGTTCCAGGCGCTGTACCCAGACTCGTCCATTCTGTTGGTCAGGTCGTTTGTGTATCACTTTGTGGGTCCCAAGTTCCCTGGTGAGATAGCGCCGGCGGTGTCCGTCATTCGCTCGATCATGGGGGAGGACGGCGGTGACAGCAACCAACCAGAGATGCTGGTTCACGTCTTTTCCAATGGCGGTTCGACTGCGCTGAAATACCTTTATGAGCTGTATCCGAAGACCGCTCGACAAGGCGAGTCGCCCAACCTCCCGCTCCATGTCACCATCTTTGACTCTGCACCTGGTCGTTTCCAGTGGTCACGCAGCGTCACTGCTTTCGCCATGGGCGCAGCAAGGAGTCACTTCGTTGTCAGGCTGTTTGTGAGGGCTATGGCTCATCTCATGTCCGCTGTCTATTGGATACTGACAGTCCCTTGGGGTCGCGCGGGATTCCTGGAGCGGACTTGGCTGGCGCACAACGTCAAGACCAAGAACCCGACGGAGACTGGGCGAACATATGTCTATAGTAAAGAGGATAAACTTGTAAGTTATAATGACGTCGAGGAACATGCAGCTCAAGCTCGAGAGCAGGGCTACAAGGTGACGCTAGAGGAGTTCAAGGGAACCGCGCATGTTGCACATGCCAGGGGTGACGAAGGGAGATATTGGTCCATAGTCAAAGACACCTGGGACAG